TATACTGGTGTCAGGAGATCCTTGTATACTGGTGGTGTCAGTCAGGAGATCCTTGTTGTATACTGGTGGTGTCAATAGGTCCTTGTTGTATACTGGTGGTGTCAGGAGATCCTTGTTGTATACTGGTGGTGTCAGGAGATCCTTGTTGTATACTGGTGGTGTCAGGAGGTCCTTGTTGTATACTGGTGGTGTCAGGAGATCCTTGTATACTGGTGGTGTCCAGGAGATCCTTGTTGTATACTGGTGGTCCTTGTCAGGAGATCCTTGTTGTATACTGGTGGTGTCAGGAGATCCTTGTTGTATACTGGTGGTGTCCAGGAGATCCTTGTATACCAGGGTGTATACTGGTGGTGTCAGGAGATCCTTGTTGTATACTGGTGGTGTCAGGAGATCCTTGTTGTATACTGGTGGTGTCAGGAGATCCTTGTATATACTGGTGGTGTCAGGAGATCCTTGTTGTATACTGGTGGTGTCAGGAGATCCTTGTTGTATACTGGTGGTGTCAGGAGATCCTTGTTGTATACTGGTGGTGTCAGGAGATCCTTGTTGTATACTGGTGGTGTCAGGAGATCCTTGTTGTATACTGGTGTCCTTGTTGTATACTAGGTCCTTGTTGTATACTGGTGGTGTCAGGAGATCCTTGTTGTATACTGGTGGTGTCAGGAGATCCTTGTTGTATACTGGTGATACCAGGAGATCCTTGTATACTGGTGGTGTCAGGAGATCCTTGTATACTGGTGGTGTCAGGAGATCCTTGTTGTATACTGGTGGTGTCAGGAGATCCTTGTTGTATACTGTGATACCAGGAGATCCTTGTATACTGGTGGTGTCAGGAGATCCTTGTGTCACTGTCAGTTTGGAGTTTCCAGTGCTTCCGGCTCCAGGGGATATATGTGTCCATTATATCAGTGATTTTGAAACCATAATCTTCTAATTTGTCAATCAAGCAATTGAAGCTGTTTTTTTATTATGTCAGTGATGTTGAAATCATAATCTTCTAATTTGTCAATCAAGCAATTGAAGCTTTCTTTTAATTATATCAGTGTTTTTTAAACCTTAATCTTCTAATTTGTCAATCAAGCAATTGAAGCTGTTTTTTTTAATTGTTGTTTTAAGGTAACCTCGTGCAATTGCTTGTGTAAAGTTTTAGCCACAACCAACCTTCAGAGCCAATAGTATGGTGACTTGTCCATCAAGCTGAAGGGGTGCTGTAGATCCTGATCCCACAGGACAATGTCAAGCATCATTATCTCACTGAGATTTGTTCAGGAAAACTTACTAAAAGTTGTTGAAATTCTTTAGGAATCTTCCCAGAACTACAAAACCCAGGGATCTAAAGATGCTGATGAAATAATGTGACACTGATTGGTAGATATCGTAGAATGGCAGTATTTAAATAGCATTCTCAAAAGAAGAAATAAGTTTTTCATGTGAGGAAAATCTTAAAGCATGATCTTAAAAATAAAACAGAATGTGAAAATGATTTCTTGTATGGCCCTGATTTGGTTCAATATTTGTGACTTTAAAGAAAGAAAATACAGTCTTTTGTTAGATAGTTCATCAGTGTCTGTACTATATATTTAATCCCCGCTAGAGGAGCTTGGGGAAATATCTCCTACATCACAATCAGGATTTCTTCTTCGTGGGCCGATTTGACCGAAATATAAATATTGAGGTGACAAGTACAGTTTGTCCTTGTGGATGACCTTCAAAAAGAAATGTGTCTGAATCACTTACAGAATTAAATCTGACATCTGTATTCATGTAGACCATGTATCTGCGGCTGCTGAATCAACAATTGTCAGGGAGACAGAAACCAAATCAACTCTGTGATTTTGAGATTACACAAAATTCAATGAAACTAGAAACTTGGTGCACAAGAGGTAATATCCAGTCAGCCTTTTTGTGTGCTTGAGTTGTGTTTCAGGCAGATTAATGCATGAAATATCACGTTCCTTGCATTGATCATTTGATTAATTTCTCAAATTTCAAACTAATCTCATTATCTCAAAGTTAACCTCAAACAGTCCTTATATTTACAAGCATCACTTTGTAGACGATGCGTACAACTTGCATATCCTGATTTCTACAAACACAGATTCCACAGACAGATGTCCCCCACCCCACCCCTCCCCAGTATTGATGAGAGACATATCCCACAAATATATTGTCCAAGTTTTTAGATAACAGAAAAGTTAAAGTTCCAATTAACCATGGAAATATAGTTGCCTGGTAACAGAGTGGGACTGTCAGTGTTCACCAATATTCTCAATGTATGACAGGTCAGATATGTTACGATATTATCGGTGTAGTGACATTTAACAGTATCATTTTGATGGATGTGTAGTACTTCATATGTACTCAAACAGTGGGAAGTACAATATTCATGTTTGTATGTATATTTACCTGGTGAACATAGATATAGTTTAAAGTTAACAGTTATATAATGAACCACATGTAACAGAAACCACAAATAAAAAAGATACCCAAGAAGTTATGACACTTGTAATCTTTCACAGATAATTTCAAGTGGAAATTTGTTTATCTTTAGTCACTAGAAATTTATGAAAGGTCAAATATAATACATAGTTGTATAGTTTACCTGTTATGAGAGTTAGTTAACAGAGGTGCTGCATACAGGTGCTGTGTCCAGGTGTTGTGTTTGAATGCTGGCTTCAGGTGCTGGCTTCAGGTGCTGGCTTCAGGTGCTGGCTTCAGGTGCTTTGTTCACAAGCTATATAGGATTGCCTGCTTCACAGTATTCAATATCTGGTAGTAATGTGGATCAATGCATGAGGTGTAAATGTTCAGATATGATAAGAGACTGGTATGTCATTAAACATTTTTCTTTGAGCAAGTCAGCATTGTGAATTCATGTGTGAGTGAGTGAGTAACTTGCCCGTGCCATGGGTCTATCTGCTTCTTCCCCACCAGTTCTCCTCACGTTATCCTGGACAGTACTACAGTGAATGTACGTGAGTTAGTGAGTGAGTGAGTGATATATTCATCTATCAATACTATTACAGCAGATTATTAGAGCAAGAGACTCCAGGATTGGTCATTTTGATAATTTGCTAAAGTCAGAGATTCAAACAGTCTTTAAACTGACATTGTTTTTAATCTGAGCATGAAATGGGTTTCAAATCACAGTAAAATAGGAATGTAGGGAATCTTAAGACAAAGTACTTTATCCAGAAACTTTAAGTGCTATTAGAAACCACTTAAAATCCAATAATGTATCCAGGAAGCAGTTATGGTATTAAATTACATCATAAATCATACTTTAGGTACATTCAAATACTGGTTATAAACCTTAAAAAAAGAAAATCTTTTGGAAACTTTATCAATTTATTATACAAAATGACTCAATAAGGCATTGTGAGTCGGCATGAGTTTCAGACGTCCACCAGGAGGTTTAATAAACTAACAGACGATTGTCTAAATCCCAAATTGACGACTGCACCCAATAGTGTATGTCATTTGAGAAGAATTTGTTTTTTACCTGCATAATGGAGCCAACTCATGCTCACAGGCAGTTGGAGAGGAGTTTGTGTTCGATGTAATTGCATTGAATAATTTGGTGAGGACTGGAACCCCGTTAGCTCTACTTCTGGCAGTGGGAAGAAAAACAAAGATGTGGTTGGGCACAATCCCAGCTTGACTGTGAACTTAAGGAAATATTAGTGGTCCTTCTAGCTATCACTTTGACATGCTATGGGAGAGTTTATGTCATTATAATGTACATTATTTTAGATGGAAGGGATTTGTCTTCATTTCCATTAAAGGGGATTATATCTGAGAGTGAATATTTTTATTGACTTAATATGGGGGAACTAAAGGGTCTTTAACTTTGAGCATTATGGCACTGCGTTTATTTTCATTGTCTGTTTCAAGACAGTTGGAGACATGCTACTGGAACATTGGCTTGGCATGTGACATTCTTCATGGCATGCTGTCATTCATTATCTTTCACATTCTAACATCTCAAAAAACATCCAGGCCTGAATTCCTATGACCCAGAATGTGCAGTCAATGTCCATCAATGTCCAGTGTCGTCACTCTGAAGTGATGGGGAACCTGAGCCTTTTGCTTTTCAGGATTATTGGACTGAGGTTCAAATGTGGTCCAGATTTGTTCAATATTTCCATTTCAGTCAAATGAAGACCTGGTTTGTTGAGTACATCAGTCTGTCTGATGTTACAACAATACTGACCAGTTACCCTCAGCTACCTTGTCAGTATGCCTCCAAGTTGTTGTTCTGCTGTTACATGACTGTTGTGTTTGTTCCAGGTCTACTAACCCCTCTGTTGATGAGGTCACAGATTGTTACATGACTGTTGTGTTTGTTCCAGGTCTACTAACCCCTCTGTTGATGAGGTCACAGATTGTTACATGACTGTTGTGTTTGTTCCAGGTCTACTAACCCCTCTGTTGATGAGGTCACAGATTGTTACATGACTGTTGTGTTTTGTTCCAGGTCTACTAACCCCTCTGTTGATGAGGTCACAGATTGTTACAGATTGTTACATGACTGTTGTGTTTTGTTTGTTCCAGGTCTACTAACCCCTCTGTTGATGAGGTCACAGATTGTTACAAGACTGTTGTGTTTGTTCCAGGTCTACTAACCCCTCTTGTTACATGACTGATGAGGTCACAGATTGTTACAAGACTGTTGACTGTGTTTGTTCCAGGTCTACTAACCCCTCTGTTGATGAGGTCACAGATTGTTACAAGACTGTTTTGTTTGTTCCAGGTCTACTAACCCCTCTGTTGATGAGGTCACAGATTGTTACATGACTGTTGTGTTTGTTCCAGGTCTACTAACCCCTCTGTTGATGAGGTCACAGATTGTTACAAGACTGTTTGTTTGTTCCAGGTCTACTAACCCCTCTGTTGATGAGGTCACAGATTGTTACATGACTGTTTTGTTTGTTCCAGGTCTACTAAGCCCTCTGTTGATGAGGTCACAGATTGTTACATGACTGTTTTGTTTGTTCCAGGCCTACTGAGCCCTCTGTTGATGAGGTCACAGAGAAGATGAGCAGCACATCAGGTGAGATGCAAGTACTATCTTCATGTTCAGTGAAACCTGAAACATGTGCATGGTTAACTACAGCTTATTTAAGTAATAACAATAGATATTCAGAGAACCTATAGATGATTAATGCCTACCCTTCTTCCTTGACAATCCACTGATTTACTATCTCAAGTTTTTAATTCCCTGTTACCCAAACCTACAAAATGTCAGTTTTATTGGAGGTGAACTCCTGTACCATTCTTTGGTCTGTATCAGTGGATGAAACACCAGCAGCCAGCACGGATAAGAAGGAAGAATCGGCAGCTCCCCTGGTGGTGGTGGTGGTGGTGAAGCAGGAGCAGACGGAGGAGGAACCGGAGCATCAGAGGAGGAGCTGCTGGGAGCCTGCGGAGGATCTGATGCTGCAGTGACCGTCAGCGACCTGCTGAAGCAGCAGGTGAGCCTTAGCTTGTTTGTCATGTTCCATGGTTTCACTACAGTGTTCCTCTACAGACACAACTGTATTCACTATTGTTTAAATTTGGATTCTCTTTTGTGTGGATTACACAAGACTTTGGTGACGTGGATGTATTCATGACAACGTTTAAGCAACGCTGCAAGGATATCTGTTTCCAAACTTGGAGCAGTGATATTGGTAGTAGTTCCTTTCTTAAAGTTTATTCATCATACATTACTTAGTTTTGGAAACAGAAGTGTATATAACTGCATTGTACACTAATAGAGACTTGAGGTGCTTTTTATGTAAATTTTGTTGCTTATCGCACAAATTGGGTGTCCAACAGTTCAATAAAGACAATGTAGACGATACTATAGCAATATGTAGCAAGTGTCATTTAGACGTCCTAGAAGATGAATACCACTTTCTATTAGTATGTAGTACTACCATACAAGTAGGATGCAGCTTATTGCTGTGTATTATCATATAAATCCATCTGTATTTAAGTTTACTGTATATTATATGCAGACCTTTAGCTTGTAATAGAGATAAGATGAAGCTGATGAGGCTAGCCTTAGCATGGTACGCATACCAGATGAAAGACTACACAACGCAGATGTGTGGATGACAATGAGTGCGGTGTGGATGGCGCCGGCGGACCGGGACACATAGTTCAGCTTTTGCGACCCCTCCGGCGTGGAAAAGCAGACGGGCAAAGCATAGGCAAGTTTGTACTTCCTCCGGAGACAGCAGGCAGGAAAAGCAAGCTGGTAAGGCATTGTAAGCTTTGTACTTCCTCCGCGGAGACAGCAGGCAGGAAAAACCAGGCTGCTAGTGCATTGGAAACTTTTGTACTCCCTCCCGCCGAGCCAGCAGGCAGGAAGGTTTGGGCTGCCACTGTAAAAGTAGGAACCAAGTATCCATATTTTAAGCTGATTTGGTGTTAAGTCCCGTCGGCACCATGCCAACAGGCCCGCATGCTGCCCACTGCTGGGCAGCGGCGGGCTGCCATCCACAACGAGTTGAATAGTTAAAGGGGAGTAGGGAGAGGGCGCAAAGAGGTTTCACTAATACTTAATTGCTGTGCAGTGCTGCCAGAATGGCCCGATGTTGGGCCGCCATGCCCAGCTTGGATAAGTGCACCCCGACGAGGTACTGGGCAAGGCCGAGGCTACGTCGCTGCAGCCCGAGGTGTTATAACTGGAGCCAATCACCCACGACGGCCCTGTAAGCCAGAAGTTCACATTAGATTTGTGTGCCTAACAAAGGCATACGAATATACGCCCTGTAGGCATTAGATCTCCAGTGACCAAATTCCTGAATCTAAACTGTCGGAATTCCTTGTAACACTGCTGAGTTTGCTGCTCCTAACCGAAATGAATGAGAAGAATAAAAGTTACTATTGATGGGTTGTTTTGCTGCCGTTAGCGTCTTCCTGAGCACTGCCTGAAACTGAAATCTTGTTAGAGGAGCCGAGTTAGTATGAGTAAAGAGATACCCGTCTGTACATGGTCGCACAGCCAAAAATTGCTTTGACAGGGCATAGTATGGACTGAAGGACTGCCGTAATGGCAATGCGTGTGCCACGGCCCTGCTGGTCTAGTTTTGGAGGCCTGTAGGACCACCTCCACGTAGGATTGGTCGCTAGCAAAGACATGTCCTTCAGCAAAACAGCCCGCTGTGACGAAGTCGCTATTGAACGGGCTGACTACCTCCCTTACCCTGAAAAAACAAAACAAAACAAAACAACAAAAAACAAAGAATGTTAGTTGCTGATTGAACGGGCCAAGACCTCGCTTACCCTGAAGAAAGAATGTTAGTAGGTGTGCTGCTGAAAACAGAGAAGTTTCATATGAAGACCTGCATACCGTGGAAAGGAGTTGCACAACGCGCGTTAGCAGATCAACTGTAATGGGCTGACGCGTGTCTGGCTGCCTTGCTATCCTGGCCATACCTGCAATGGCTTACTGCCAGATATAAGGGCTCATCCAGGATCTGTACCCGGGACCTCTCGCCTGAGTTGTGGTTTTTTGTTTGTTGTTTATTTTTGTTTAAAAAATTACACAGAAATATAGAATATTAAATTTCCTATCCGTTGGTATAAATATAAGTGCAACCACCTCAGCGTTTTGGTTGAGGAGCAGACCTCGCCAAATGTTGTCCACGATTTTGTTATGCATTAAAAACAGCAAATTATTCCGCTTTTTATCGCCCCCGATAAAAATACTGTGCTACGAATTTTTTATTTGGCATCTTTACTGAAAGTGTGAGCTAAGAAAGTACAGCCCAATATACAAGTGCATACCAACTGGGTTTATATGTGCTTACGCACAACGCAACACGCCCAACCAAAAACAACTCGCAATAAATGGCAAAACTGGATTCTCTTCTATGACGTCAAACAATGACAGAGGGGTCATACATGTATAATGATAAGGGGGGCATAACTCCGTTATGCTTCACACTAGGTCAATGTAACTCAGATCACATGTAGAGAACCTGCTGTGGATACAGCCGCTACATTTTCTTTATCCTTTGCCCATGGCGAACCAAACTACTGTAAACGTAGTATATTTCGCGCAGGTTTTATTTTCGCGCTTTTCGCGCAAAACATTTTAGCGCGAAAATTTATACACCGCGAATAAACCATAACACATCAAGTTTGAAGACAGAAATCTACGGAAATCTAAAAATGACGACTGATAGTAGCATAAACAATCATACTTAACTGTCGCTGTAATCGATTTCCCAAAACATAATTAAATAATGAGCCAAATCCCATCGCCGAATTAGCGAAAACAGCAATGTGTGTTGTGGCCGCCATGGAAATTGGTCACATGACAGATGGTTTGATACAAAACAGATTACCATGAAACGACTTCGGGAAGAAATAATACAGCAGTATTTTATTTATTCATTTAGATACAAACGTATCATCATGAAGCGAATAGTCACTTAACACTCAATCATCTCATTCACAACAACCCGGCTTGTTTGAAATCACAAAAAGCTTCATATACAGTATAAGTTAATTCGTCAGATCGTCAGAATTCGGAACATAAGACTGATGTGTTTTTCATCTCTTCCGGGAGTAAACGGGTTACTGTGTACTAGTATATCGCACAGATAGGGATTTCCTGTGAGTAAGCAATAAACGCCGCCTGACAGGTAAAGCCACTCTGTTTGTTTTCACTGCTATTAGTGGCGGCCAAAGAGACAGCTGGCAGTTCCAGCAATTACTGATTGCGCGAATAATTGACCGCTCGAAGTAGTCTAAACTGTCAATTCCGCGAAAATTGCACCACGCGAAAATAAGTATGTTTACAGTATTCCAATTACAATTTCCCCAATGTGATCGGATACGCTTTAGCAGTTTCACAATTTACCAGAAAAGATGACAACGCACCACATGCGAAAGTACGTAACAGCGGCCCGGATGGCCCTATCCGAGTATATAAGTTAGTTCTTAGATTCCCATATTCTCCTGTGTGTATAGATGTATTTTGACTAATTTTTCAACGTTATTACCAGAGTACTAGCCATATCTTCAAATGTAATGAAATTGCTGAAAATAATACCACATTTTAGTTGACATAATTGCTTGCTTCACGCGCCCTGCGATGTCGGAAAAAGGCGACCTTGGCACGCTGATCAGCATACATCTCACCCAATTTCCATTAATTGTATAAAAGGTCTCGGCTTCTATGTCATAATTAAACACTCTTTAGATGAAACATAAAATTACTGATTTTTCCCTTTAAATAGTGTCCTGACTATATAACAATTAGACAGTTTGACTGTGTATCTTATTATGAGCAACACGCACACCTGTTTGGCATTAATTTAACGTAAAATGAAAAATTAATATTTCGCAAACGCCCCAATAGTTTGTTAGGATAAGAATTTTCTTTCTTTATGATTATGTAGCTATTTCTCTTAATAAGTATGCAATGAAAGATGCAAAAAGATAGCCTTTATATATGGAACTATATATTAGAATATGGATGTAAGATTTGTCCAAATCAACACATGACTTGGTTTATATATCTCCAAACAATCTTCCTATAAAATTCGTTAGAGAGTGATATCCTGTCATGCCAATATGAACTGAATATATTATCAAAACAATGATAGTGAATCATAAAATGTTACCGACAAACGTGCACCTGGCCAATCAACATATGTCATTGTTTTGTATATAAAACGACACAAAAATATGCAATGAACAAGAAAATTCCTTTAAATATATGTCCATATACATTTCATAACATATGTAAGTCATTTTCATTAATTAGTATCAGTTTACTTATAAGGTTGAATTAAATCGCTGTTCATTAACCTGTCCATATGAAACTGCAATATTAGTCCAATATTACACATTGTACATCATAGGGACTAAAGTATTTGCAGCTATGGTTACGCTTTCATCTTCAACACTTGTGTAAAGATTTAGAATATGGTGTACTGCACTAAATGTGCCAACCTCCTATGTAAACATCACCCAAACAATCAAAACCTTCAAGGAATAAAACAGTAAACCCTACATGCACGCATGACACCGAAAGCAAGGCCAAATGTAGATACTGAAGTCAGTTCCATGAAAAATTATCTGAGCTTTCCAAGAAAATATACTATGCTGACAGTGTAATCGGAAGTCGGTTAAGGTGATTGTGTTTACTCTTGTTCAACCGACCTTCACCTCGAAGAAATTTCCCAATATGTACAACAATGTGGACATATGACATCACTACAGATGACCTATCTCTTACAATACGGTGGCCTTGCTGACAAGGATACCGAGGATTCTCTGAGGGACCTTTCCACTGATTCAGGGATTGTTTGTATATAAATATGACATGTAAGTAATCAGAATGACTCTGACTATCTGTATGTTGTTATATGTTTTTATCATTTTCACTGTAAGTAAGAGAAGACGCCAAAAATGCTGATAATTACAGTTGTCGTTCTGGGTGATTATCGCCAAGTCATAGCTTCACGCT